CCCGCCTGCACCGCCGAGATGCTCCGCATCCTGGAGGCCGACCCCCACGTCGGTGGCGTCGGCGGCGATGTCCAGGTACCCTGGCACGAGGGAGGGCACGGCTGGGGGTTCCAGGGGGCTGCGGCACTGCCGGGGCTCACATCCATCCCCTCCCCAGATCCTGAACAAGTACGACTCGTGGCTCTCCTTCCTGAGCAGCGTGCGGTACTGGATGGCCTTCAACGTGGAGCGCGCGTGCCAGTCGTACTTCGGCTGCGTGCAGTGCATCAGCGGCCCCCTGGGCATGTACCGCAACGCGCTGCTGCAGCAGTTCCTCGAGGACTGGTACCACCAGACCTTCCTGGGCAGCAAGTGCAGCTTCGGGGACGACCGGCACCTCACCAACCGCGTGCTCAGCCTGGGCTACCGGACCAAGTACACGGCTCGCTCCAAGTGCCTGACGGAGACGCCCACGCGGTACCTGCGCTGGCTCAACCAGCAGACCCGCTGGAGCAAGTCCTACTTCCGCGAGTGGCTCTACAACGCGCTCTGGTTCCACAAGCATCACCTCTGGATGACCTACGAGTCGGTGGTCACCGGCTTCTTCCCCTTCTTCCTCATTGCCACCGTCATCCAGCTCTTCTACCGCGGCCGCGTCTGGAACATCCTCCTGTTCCTGCTGACCGTGCAGCTGGTGGGTGTCATCAAGGCCACCTATGCCTGCTTCCTGCGAGGCAACGCCGAGATGATCTTCATGTCCCTCTATGCCCTCCTCTACATGTCCAGCCTGCTGCCCGCCAAAATCTTCGCCATCGCCACCATCAACAAGTCGGGCTGGGGCACCTCAGGGCGCCGCACCATTGTGGTGAACTTCGTGGGGCTGCTGCCGGTGTCGGTGTGGGTGGCGGTGCTGCTGGGCGGGCTGGCCTACACCGCCTACAGCCAGGACCTCTTCAGCGAGACCGAGGTGGCCTTCCTCGTGTCGGGTGCCATCCTCTATGCCTGCTACTGGGTGGCCCTGCTCACCCTCTACCTGGCCATTGTTGCCCGCCGCTGCGGCAAGAGGCAGGAGCAGTGCGGGCTGGTCTTCACCGAGGTCTGACCGTGGGTCGGTCCCGTGCCGGGGTCCTTCCGTGTGCCACAGTGATCCAACGTGTCAGGGTAACCACCCCCTGTCCCCTCTTCCCCATCCCAGAACCACCAGGTGCTGGGGTGATCCCACCTGCTGGAGTGAACACCCCCAGTCCCCTTTTTCCCAATCCCGGAGCTGCTGGGCAGCGCTGAGCGCTCCCAGCCCTTGGCATTTCTCATCAGATCTTGAAATCTTGCTTTTTTTCTTTATCAGTATGTACATTTTTCCTACGTATTCATTTTTCCATCCCAAGCTGGCCACGGAGAAGCCGAGCCAGGGCTGCCCATCACCCAGCCAGGTGCTGCCAGCTCCATCCCAGCTGTGCCCTATGGAGCATCCCGGTGTGGAGCGCTGCTGGCCGCGCTCCCCACACCCCACTCCAGAATCCTCCGCCCTTCGGTGCTTTTTACAGGGATTTCAATCCCATCTCCACGGTGCTACAGCACTTCCCACCCCCAGGACACACCGTCTCCGTCCAGCACGGTGCCGGCACTGCTGGCTGGTGCTGCCTCTGCCCACGGCTGCGTGCGGGCGCGTACCCACGGGGAGCCCCCCAGGCCTTTCGGGGGGTCTGGCTGCTCCAGGAGGGCAGCAGGTTCCTTCAGCTTTGCCAAAGAGCCAAGGGGGGATCCTGGCATGGAGAAACTGGGAAAACTGGTGGGCTGTGTGTTGGTTGGTGTTGCTGGAGACCCTCTGGGGCCACGTCGTGCTCTGGCCAACACGCAGCCCCGCCACTCCCACCCCGCTACCTTCCCAGCGGTGGGAAGATGGGGATTTAGGCAAGGTGCTTCCCAACTTCCCCCTCCCCAGGGAATTCACCTGTGGGTCCTTTTTTCAGGACTTGGATAAAAACCCCTTTCTATGACGGAGCTTTTAGCTGTTTTTTGTTTAATTTAATACAAGGTTTTTTAGAAGACTTTTGTAGCTCTTTGGTATTGTCGCAAATGGTTTGTAAATCTATTTATTTTTGATCCTGCCAGGGGGATTTTTTTTCCATATTTCGGGAGGAAAAAGCTGGTTTTTATATCCTGATGGAGTTGTGGAAATAAAGACTTGAAGTGAGGACACATGGTGTGTTTTGGGGAGGGTCCCTGGGCCCCCTGCCTGACTTGAGGGAGGTTGGTCCCAAGTCCCTGCGTGGCACTGGTGTCCCTACAGCTGCAGGGAGCGGGTAGAAGGAGACATGTCCACCCTGGCACCTCCATGGATCCCTGGGACCTGCTGGACACTGTGCACAGCCCCTGGGGTGGGACACTCCTGCCTGGACTCACAGGAAGTCCCTGTCTACCAGGAACCACGTCCCCTGGTGTGATCCACCACACAGGGTCTGTGGCTAAGAGCTTGGTTGCTCTCTGAAAAGTCATTTTAGGGGGGAAAGTGATGCAGGAAGGGCTTTAGGTGCTCAGACACAGGAGCCAGCAGCCCCAGAGTCTCCTGTGCAGGACAGGGATGAAGTCCTGGATCTCCCCAAGTCCCTGCTGTTCTTTCCAGCAGCAGGTCACAGTTCATAGCCCACATCCTTCCCCTCACACCTTCTTGGGCACGTGGGTGATGATGGGCTTGGGGCGGGTTTTGAAGAGCAGTTTGGTTTTGATGAGGGCAGTAACGGTGTAGTGGCCATGGGGCCCCGTGGGGCTGGGCTGGGAGGCTCCTCTCTGCTTCACCAGCACAGCAAACGGCTTCTCCAGCTGCACCACCTTCCCGTAGAGGATGTGGTGGCCCACGATGAGCACGGGAATGCCCTGGGGAGAGCGGAGGGTGAGGCTGGGCTGGGCTGTCCCGGGCAGGTCCCGGCGGTGTCCGGCCTCACCTCGCAGGTGTAGTGCAGGTCTCCCAGCAGGTTCCCAGCCAGGTCCCCGCTCTGCCGGGGCTCCACCTCACCCTGCAGCTCCACCAGCACCCACTGGGCCAGGGCCCCCGTGCCACCGCTGTGGGACAGACAGTGGGGATGGTCACCCAGGCCCCAGCAAGAACAGGGGCCACAGGGACCAGCCCCACGGGGCTCACCTGGAGATGATGATCTGCACCATGCCGGGCCCTGCCAGGGGCTGCAGAGACACAGTCAGGGATGAGGAGTGGGTGGGGGAGCAGAAGCCCCCAGCCCTTCCCCTCTGGGGGTCCCAGGATGAACTTCTGCCCCTGGGCGCCACAGACCCGCCATACACAGACCCTGTTCTAGGCCCACAGATCCTGAGATCCATCCCCTCAGGCCCTACACATCCCCAGGCCATCCATCCCCCGGCTCCCACAGATCCCCAGGCCATCCATCCCCCGGCTCCCGCAGATCTCCCCATAACGGGTCCATCTGCCCCCCATGCCCAGAGCCCAAACCCCCCAGCCCCATCCCCTGCCCAGAAACCACCCCCAGACCCCGAGCCC